TAGATGTCCGACATCTATCAGAGTTGTCTAGAGCTTCCTCTCTGGTTAGCACGTTGTTAACACGCTCAATCACAGCTTGATGCTCATCAGACATGTAAACAACCACCATTTCGTGGGACTTAGGTGATTGTCTCAAACCTAGCAAAAGGTGTGACTGAGTGGAAGGAAAGAGCAACTGCGGCGGCTCTTCCTGCAGTTCTTGCTTGCTAACAACAAAGCTGCTTTCCCAGGCGGGGTCAAGGGAAACTTCTGGCTGAGAGAAAACGTACGTGGAAAAGAAAGGCTCTTGCTCAGGCTCGGTTTCACTGGCTGTCTCTGCTGTGCGTGCAGTAGCGTCGTCAGGAGTGGCAATGTCAAAGACCTCAGGAAGACGAACCTCAGGCTGAGGCTCCTCCAGCATTAGGCGATCTCTTGCCCTGCATTGTACCTGTGCTGTCACGTCTTGCAAAACAGGCATGGCAGGGTCATGAATGCCACCCAAATTGGGCACATCAACGACAGTTTGGCGCAGCTGAAGGATAGACTCCTGATCTTCTGCAAAGAACTGGACGAACGCCAACTCAGTACTGCCACAGAGTCGGGCAAAGTTGACATGCTGATTTCCCGCCACGACGGCGAAATTACCGGCCTCGAGTTTCCCCGGGCACCAAAACAACAGCATACTCTCGTCACAGTTCACTCCTGGAAGGCTGCTTACGTTGCAACCAAAACGGAAAGAGACTGTTCCAGAAAACAAAAGGCTGCAGGCTGCGACGTGTAAGCCCGCTAACAACTCTTTGGGGTACCTACTGTTAGCTTCGAACGCGCGCCATTCACCCTTATGCCTAAACCAACCTAACCTAACAACCACTGCGTTGTGTGACTCGGCAGCCTCCTGTAAGACAGCAATAGGCGAGATTAAAGGGCTACTAACTAAAAGTGCTACGTAAACCAAAGCCCGCCTAATATCTTGGAGTCTACAAGTGATAACTCTTCCTTGCCATCTTACAGAAATCTGCCCGTCGCGCAAGCTTGTCACGTCAGCTACAA